ATGGCTTGGTAGGAATGCTATCTTTTCATTGCTTTGCAGGCCTAGACATAGCAATCTCCTTGTCTGATCAGTCAGATCATTTGAAGAAACTGAGGAAACTAGAAAAGACCTGCTAAGAGATTACCTTCTCAATTATTAATTAACTTTGCCAGAGAGGACATGAAAATCCAATATCAGGATACAGAGGGCCCCTGCCTCTTCCATCCATAATCCCCGTTAAGTTTCTGGGTAGATACCTTGGATTTATACTAATGTTGCCCAATAAGAGTCTTTTGTTCTCACTATTAAGAAAATTGGCCTTCACTAGAAATGAAAATTGTAATGTATTAGGCCTGGAAGCACAGAGCATTTCTATATTTAATGAGCCAGTGACAGTTTCCCAACTACTTTCTCCCCTTCTCAATCAGAGATATTTCAATCAGCAGCTCTCAAAATCTCTTGCATCGGAATCATGGGGGGGCGGGCAGGGAATGACACTGTTAAAGCCCCAGAGCATCAGATTGTTAGGCTTGAGGCAGAATTTGAAATTTTGCATTTTAAGTAAATTTCTAAACACTGCTGAGACTGCTGGCTGCCCACGCATTGAGGACCACTGTTGCAAATTTGAAAATATCAGCGATATTTAAGTAGACATTTGGTGACTTCCTAAGTGACTTGCAACTCTGCCTTCACTTTGGTACTCACACGCGCTGGTTTTAAGGAAGTTGGCAATGTCCAGGAAAAGTTAGTAGCTCCATAAATGTTTTAAACTATACCCACATCTGGTTTCGCTGGTCTGGATCTGACCAACTGTTTTGGAATTTAATGGTTCAGATGGATGCAGGGTGTTACCATGGCAATGCTCTTCCTTGCAGAGGATGGTCCCAGAGGCCCATTCTGCCCAAGTGTCCGTGTGTTTTTCATGTCTTTTCCCATGGGGTGCTACACGGTTCTGTTCCATTCTTCCTGCTGGGCATTTTGAGGAAGCTAGAATAGTTAAGAGATTCTAGTCCCCTGTTGGTCCAGCCCCGTGTATAAAATGCACTCCCTTCACCAAACCATTGTGCAGCTTGCTTAGAGCCTTGGATTAGATGAAGCATATTTGTGTTCTAAGCAAGGGTGGGTGGGTAGAGGCATCCCAAGGCTCCGGTGAAGGTGCTTTCTGCTCCTTTGATTAGCAGCTGTGGCCTTGTAGCACTGTCTGCATTCTCAGCTAGGAAAAGTACGCCTCTCCTGTAGCATTTATTATGAAGTTATTACCTCTATGGATGCAGTGCAGGGCAGATGTCCATGGCACAAGCCTGCTGCCAGATCCTTTTGTTACCATCTTTCCAAGGTTCTCCTTGAAGCCCACGTAGATACCTGGTGTTCTTCCTCCAGGGTGTTCCATACACAGTGTCCAGGTGCCCACAGCCCACCAGAGGATTATTTAAGGAGCAGCTCTGCAGATCCTGTGTGGCTTGAACTCTGGTTGTTGCAGGCCCTCTCCTTCCCTGTACATCTGCAGTAGACCTAGACAGATGACAGGACCCAGGTTTGAACATCAGGGGAAACAGTAATCCATTTGTAAAGAGGGTGTTACTCATAATTGACCCCTGAAGAGTTTCCCTGGGGTAATGTTTTTGTCGTATTAGACCAGTTACAAAGCTGCTGCTGACCTGCATCTGCCTAAGGATGGAGGGAGGGGCCAGAAGAAAGGTGAGACAGACAGGCCAGACACCGTATAAGCTTATGTCACTGTTTTATCTGGGTCAGTTAGTTACACTTTGAATTTCGGAAAGCTTAATCTAAGTTTGTAGGACAGCCTTAGCGTATTACTTAAAAATCAGTTAGCCAGGTATGGCGGCCCATGCCTGTAAATCCCAGCACTTGAGAGGCTGAGGCAGGAGGATCACTGGGAGGTCAAGGTCAGCCTGGGCTCCATAGTGGGTTCAAGGCCAGCTGAATAGTAAGACCTTGTCTCAAAAAATAAAAAAATCAGTTAAGATTATGTATCTTGGGGCTGAGGATTTAGCTCAGTGGCATAAGCACCTGTCTTGCAAGAGTGAAGTCATGAGTTCTATTCCCAGTACTAAAAAAAAAAAAAAAAAATGCAAAAAGAAAAAAAAGATTATGCATCTCTTCTGATGGTGGGAGTTACCCCAGAGACCCATTCTGTAACATGAATGGATCAGAGGGACAGGAGTTAAGAGCAGATTCCTAAACATAAAATGCCCCAGCTCCAGGTGTGCAAAAGGAAGAGCTAGACATTTACCAAAGTACTGTGTGCCAGATGTTTGACACATATGCTTACTTGATCCTTGGAAGGTCCAAGTAAGAATTTATAGGCCTATTTTACAGATAGTGAAACTGAGTAAGGGGTAAAGAGGTAAAGCAACTCGCCACAGCTCATTAGGCTGAGTAGAAAGCTCTTTTCATCTTGCTTCTCTAAAATGCTGTCTTCATTGAATTGCCTTCTTCATTCTTTCCCACCAAATTATTCCTTCCTTTTTTCACAAGTATCTGTGTTCTTGCCTAACATAATTTTATGAGTAGAGATCTGTTTGCTTTTAATCTGTTAATTGTATCATCATACTTCTGCATTCAGATTATCAAAATGGGAAACCTATCCTTTTATACTTTTTAAAAAAATAACATGTAAAAAACTTAAAGTTGATTTACAGAAAAGCACACAGGTTGCAAGTGTTCACTTCAATGGCTTTTTATAAACTGAACATGTGTGTATAATCACACACAGACTAAGAAATAGTCACCCAGTTGTAGTCATTCTTAAGGGCCCTTTGTTTTGGCCAGTGTGAACGTCTGGTCTGGTTAGATGTGTATTGTGACTGACCAATTGTCAGCTCAACTCTGTCACAGCAGTATTTGAAGATCCCCAGTCTGCTGGCTAGTGACAAGCCAGCTAAGCCCTTTTAGAAGGCTTAGGACTTCAGGGAGGAGGTCCCTTCAGAAAGAGGTGAAAGCAACTTCTGAAAGAGTTTAAAACTGAGAAGCCACAGACATTACAGCCTGTCTCATAAGTAAAGCTCAGGGAAGTTGAAGAATTTGCCCAAATCAAGGAACTTGGATAGCAGACAGCCTTCCTTCACACACACACACACACACACACACACACACACACACACACACACACAGATACCTGCTCTCTGAGGAAGCTCTGTTGAAATGGGTCTGGACCAAGAAGAGAGTCATTACAAGGAGGCTTGTGCCGGACTGGTGAGGTCACTGCTCAGGGTCGCTATGCAGGAACACTTCCCACTAGCTCTAGGGCGAGTACCCTACACCCCAGACACCAGCTGCCCCTCTCTGCTCTCTGCTGTCACCCAGGCCAGTGGCAGTGAGACAGCTCTGCTCACCAATCACTGCATGGTGCAAAAGCTGCTGGATAAAACCAAACCCAGAATGCGTTGTGAGAGTCCCATGCCTAGGAGGGCCTGTATTTTACCTGGACCACACAGCCTGAGGTTCTAAGTTCTAAGCCACCTCTGCCATTTCCTAGCTACTATTCCCCAGATAGGCCTGGGCCCTAACAACCTCCCAGGGTCATGGTCATGTTGTGCTATATTATACCTGGGGAAGCATCGTCAGCCACACATCACTTTTGTGTGTATATGTGTGGTGCCAGAGACTGAACCCAGGGCCTCGGACTTTCTAGACAAGCACTCTACCACTAGTCCTGCAAGCACTTCTTAATAACAGTGTTTACAGAGCAGGCCCCATGTGCCAGGTGTGGTGCAAAGTGCAGCACCCTCTCCTCCCCCAGCTCGTGGGAAAGGGGCTTCTTTATCTTCATTTCATAGATGAAGGTCCTCAGGCTCAGAGAAGCAAGATAACACTCCTCAGGGTCACGCAGTCACTTAAAAGAGTGAGTCTAACTGCCCGGCCCAGCTGCCACTTACAGCCAACCTCTCATTCAGTAGCTATTTATCGAACACCTATTATGTATCATAAATTGTTCAAGATGCTGGAGAGGCAGCTGGAGGGAACAGATGAAGCCCACATCGGCAGTGCTGGTGTCTTCTGGGGGGGTCTTCTGGGCAGGAACTACCTTGGAGATGTCTCTTGGCATTTTTAGAGGAAACCCTGTGTCTTTTTCTCACATCCCCTCCGTTCGGCTTGCTGTTGAACTCTGGAGCTGCCCAGATCCCTCCCAGTCTCCCAGAGGGAGATGATGTCTGAGACCCAGGAGTCCCTTGGTCTGTGCATCTCAGGCCTTGGGAATCAGGAGCTGTGCCCTGGAGCACTGGCCTCGCCCCTGCATGGTGTCCTGGAGTTTTCCCTGCAGCCCCCTCTGTGGGCGGGGAGGGCAGGCGCCAGCCAGCAGCTGTTGGCTCTTAGGGACCCGTCTGGATTCTGGCACGCCTTGTCCAGGCCAGCTGACAGCACCGGTGCCAGCCTGATAAGAGACTGGGACCCACGGCCACCTCGCTGCCAGCCCTGCCACCTCCACATGGCCTCATGCCTGTTATTCTGTGCGTCTCCACACACAAAGAGCCCAGGGGCTGTGGCTGCCGCTCAGCTGCTGGAGTGGGGAAAGTGGACAGTGGTGAAAAGATTTGCAGAAGGCCAGGGTGGAGGCAGGAGTCACCCAGGTGATGGGAGCTGGTCCCCTGGGATCCTGGCAGGACCACAGTGAAAGGTTACTGCTAATTGGCGAGCTCCTGATGGGGCCGCATCTATTTAGCACTCCCCCTCCCCAGAGACTCCCAGGATGGTCTTGGCACAGTGTGATTTGAGAGCTCCCCATCTGAGTCTGGCACAATCTGTCTGAAATTGTGAACATGGAGCCTCTTGGTTTTTTTAATTTGTATTTTCGTGGTCATGGTTCTCTGCCCATCGTTGCTGGTAGATTCAGCAGCAGCGACCCTGCCTCGGATGCCCCCTCCCCAGCCCCCATTGGAAGCCATGCTGGGTCAGGGAGCAGTGCCATCCTTGGCCCCCGACCCGTGGCCTAGGCCTCAGGGCCCACCGCTCCCTGCCATCAGCCCTGACACTAACGCAGCTTGTCCACCCTGTCGCAGGGGGCAGATGGCCTGTCGGAGCCCGAGGGCATCTCTCTGAAGCGGGTTGCTGTGGTGGAAGATTTCTTTGACATCATCTACTCGATGCATGTGGAGAGCTCCGCGGAGCCAGGCAAAGCCCCCAAGCACGCCGGGCAGAAGAAAACCTACCGGGCGGTGAGATTTCTGTCTCTGCCTCCTCTGGCAGCCCCGGGCCTTGGCAGGAGGCCACGGGCTCTGCACATGTTGGGCGGGGGGGGGGCGGGGCGGGGAGCTGAGGCGTGATGAAACGGCCTTTGGGGACCCAGGGGGGCACAGGGCAAGGGCATGGCAGCCAGAGAAGACTCACAGGGTGAGGGGCGGGTCCTGTGGTCTGAGCACAAAGGAGAAGCAGGTTGAAGGGAGTGCGAGGGAGGGAAGGAGAGGGACGGAGCACGGAGCGGGAGGAAGCCCTCCTCTCCCAGTTTCTGCTTCATTCCCCTCCCCAAACCCTTGCAGCCTGCTCTGGAAGAGGGGGAGCTGATAATCAGCATCTCGGGTGCCAGTGCTCCCAAGGCACAGCTTTTACTGCAAGCCAGGCCTGTCCTCCAGCTTGCTGCATGTGGGTTCATCCAGCTCCCCAAAAGCCTGAGACGTCAGTACTGGGAGTCCTGGGCAGTCTGAGGACCTGCTCCCCACCCTGTAGGAGGTCACAGTTAGATTTGGGGCAGGGAAGCAGAGGAGAAAACAAGACCCACAAAAGCAAAGGAGATCTTCAAGGTCAGCTTTGAGAGAGCAAGGACCCAGGTACCCTGTGGCACCAGCAAGGGCACTGCCACCCCAGGCAACAGTGCTAACCTGGGGGGGGGAGCTTTGTGAAGAAGGCGGCTTGTAAGCGAGCCTCTGAGTTTGGAGTAGGCAGGAGAGAACAGGGACAGCAGAGTTCCAGAGTGGGAACTGTCACAAGTGAGGGGTGGGAAGCGAGGGGGCTGTGGTCAGAGCAGAGGCCCAGCTCTGGTCTGCAGCTGGGCCCCGTGTGGACCCCATACCCCCAGCTGAGCCCTTTGTCTGGTGTTCACCATTTTATGCACCTTCAAGCCTTGAAGTTGTCCCACAACTGAGACCCTGTGGTCCCATCTCCCAGTTAGAGACCTGAGCCCCTGTCCAGGGTCACACAGCACCTGAGTGTCAATCAGCCTGCTTTGTCTCTGTCTTCAGAATCCCAGAGATGGGCCCTCTAAGCCCAAGAGCCCTGCCTAAGACAGATGTGACCTTGTTCTGCCTCAGGTCTTTCCATAGACACCAAGGAACTTTTGGAGAGGTGGTCTAAGTTCCTGATTCCCCCATATGGCCTTGCTTTTTTTTTTTTTTTTTTGTCTTTTTCCTTTTTATCGGTACCAGGGATCGAACTCACCACCGCACACTTGCAAGGAAGGCGCTTATGCCGCTGAGCTAAATCCCCAGCCCCCATGTGGCCTTGCTTTTAAAGAATCCAAAAGTCTGGTTGCCCCTGGCCTCAGATGATGGCCATATTCTGGAAGGGGATAAAAAGGGACACCAGCCCTGGGGCCTCAGAGAGGGAGGAGGCTGCCGAGGGCAGCAGGAGCTGCTCATCCTGTCTCCCACCTTCCTGTTGCTCAGGGTCTCTGCTTCAGGAAGTGACTGGGGAAAGGAATTGAGGATCCCTCTGCCAGAGGGCGTAGAAGGGAGGGCTGTGAGGTCGGGGCAGGTAACGCGGGGCCTTGGTACTGATGAGACCCGGCACAGTTTCAAGTGGCACTGAGCACTTCGCACATGCCAGGCTCTGCGCTGTGTTTCCCCTGCCCACCTCGGTGAGCTTCACACGTGTGAAAGTCGCACGTGCAAAGCAGGTGTTTTAAGATGAGGAGACTGAGGCTCAAAGAAACACACAGCTTGCCTGAGGTCACTCTGCTGTCCCCAAGCCTGTGCCCTGACCAGTACACATCTTGCCTCTCTGCAAACTTCCTGTGGTCAGCAGATGGGCTCTGCCCACGTGACTTCCCTGGCCCTCAGTGGCCTGCACCAAACCTCTTCTGTGGGCTCTCCTGGACTTGGGTCTCCTTGCCCTGCGGAAAGCAGGACAGGGCTGGGCTGGGCTGGTCCCTCTGGCATTTTCATCCCTGGGCAAAGCGGACATCCAGCCCTTTGCTCTGTACTTCCTGGCTTCTTGTCCATATGCCCGCCGCATGCCCCACTTCCCGCTGCCCAGCCTGGGGCTGGCACATGACTGGCATCCAGCCAGCTGGGCTGTGCACAGAGCTGGAATTTCAGCAGCAGGGCCAAGGCTGGGCTGAGCAGGCCAGGACTCTCCTGCTGCGGGTATGAGGCGAGGAGCCTGCACCCCAACCATGTGCCTCCTCGCCCTTCCCCCACTTCCCATCTGTCACCCTTCTTATGCCACCCCTTTCCTACTGGGGGCAGGGGTGGTTCCTGGATGCTTTTGTCCTGCGGTTTTCACCCACTCACATTTTCCTCCACTCCTCCAGCCCCACCCCGTCCTTGTTTTTGGAAGGAGCCCCCAAGGTAACCTGTGCAATTGGCTGCAGAGAGGCACAACCTGGCAGCACAGTGTTTGCAGGAAGCCCTTGGCAGAGGGGGTTTTGGATCTGTCCCTGTGTGTCTTGCCCAAGCTGAGTCCTGGCGCTGCCTTACAGTCTTAGGATATGGGGGGCTTTCAGATTTTAAAAGCCTGGGGCTTCTGTAGGCAGACGTGTTCAAGGTACTAAAGGAGGTCAATCCGATAGTGGGGTAAAGGACTTTTTAACACCTATCACTGTCTAGCCATGGATCAGAGAGGGCAGATGAGCTTTCTTAGCCTCATGGTATTTGAACTGGGGCAGGAAAGTAGATGGCCATTTACCCTGGATAGTGCAGGGGAATCCAGATTTTGAGGAGGAAGCCCTGTCTTAGCCTCTGATTTGGGTGACCTGAGGTTCCAGAGATCCCAGAGTATATCACTAGTGCCAAGTCTGAGGAAGGCTCCAGATAGTTCTACAAAGTTCCCTGAACCCACACATAGAAGTGGTCCTTTTCCTCAAGGGGCGTTCCTGATTTTGTGAGATTGGAATGAGCCCTTTTTCTTCCTTTCTTTCTCAAAGCCTTAAGAGGCCAGATCAGGTTCCAGGGCCACTTGGGAGTTGAGACCAGATGTGGTCAGCAGCTGCTCCAGGCCCACCACGTGCTAATCTACCACAGGGCAGAAGGAGAATCTTGTAAAGTGGTGCAAATCCTCCCAATTGACCTCATCTGTCTTTGTCAGCCTGAGTTGGGTAGTGACTCTGCAGATAGCATTCACATAGTCTTTCTCAGTTTTTACTCTAAGAAAAATGGAGAAGGCAAATTCATATGTGGCCCTCAGTGTCCAGGCAGGAGGCCCTGAGATCCTGGGCAGCTAGAGGAGGCTGGGCAGGGACACATGACTTAGAGCCTCCTCTCCTTAGACATAGCTACTTTGTCCTTATGTTTCATGCTTTGGGCTTCAGCATGGGCAGCTATTTCTAGAACAGGGTCTGCAGCTCTGAAATCATTTGAAAACTACCATGCTACTGACTAGAGTGCCTTTGAGGACTAGCCTTCTAGTGTCAAGTTATCTTGTGTCCTGTGGCTTGGGGCGTTCATACACTCAAACAAAAATACAGCCCCATTTCTGGTCCTGGGCAAGGCAAGTCAGCAGGGTAAACCAAAAGATGCCTGCAAGATGGGGGCAATGGGATGCACCCTCCTTTAGTGGTCCCTGTAGTAGCTGAGCAAGGCTGCAGACAATCCAGCTATGCCCTTCCAGCTATGCCCAGCAGGGCCTCCCACCCCCATCCACTCGCCCCACACCCCCAGTTCAGAGGATGTCTCCTTCTCTTCCACTTCTCTGGGGGACCCAAGCCCAAGAAGTATATGCCTGGTACTCCAGTGTGCATGACAAGACAACCAGCTCTGGTCTCCTGCTGGGGTCCCTGCCAAGGCCAAGAGAGTCACCCTTGGAGAGATAATTCTTGTGCCGTAAGGAGGCGCCTGCCTGTCCTGCCTGCAGCCCTCAGCAGAACACCAGGCCAAGGCCCACCTTGGACCTTTTAAAAATATCTCTGGGGAGCTGGGGATTTAGCTCAGCGGCATAAGCACCTGCCTTGCAAGCAGGCAGTCGTGAGTTCGATCCCTGGTACCGATAAAAAGGAAAAAGACAGAAAAAAAAAAAAAAATCTCTGGCCCAGGGCAGGTGAGCAAGCAGGCAGGCAGGCAGGCAGGGCTGCTCCTCTGGTGTGAACCTTGCCCTTCTTTCCCTGCTGACTGGGCACTCTCCTCCCCAAGTCTTCTGCTCAGCTCTTTGAGGCCTGCCCCAAAGGTTACTATGTCTCCAGGAAGTCCACAGGGTCAACTGTTGGCCAGAGTCAGCTACAGCCCTCCTCCTCACCCAGCATGCACCCAATCCCCTGCTCCTGCTGCCATCAGCCCCTCAACCAAGCCCATCTTCCCCCCAGCAGGTGCATTAGGAATAAGTCCCCCCAAGAGTTCCGGTAGCCCTAGGCTGAAGACATCTGCCCTTGCGCCTGGCAGGAAAGCCCCTCCCTCAGCCCTGCACAAAGGTTCTGTCTCCCATCTACCAGCTCCAGGCAGAGGCTCCAGGGTTTGCCCTTGCCCCTGACCTCTAGCGGAATGCAATCAGACAGGGAATTTGGAAGGGAGATAACTCATCAAGGAGCCTGCCTCTTCCACAGAACATCAAATCAGCTGAGAAATAACAATTGTGTCACCAAAATTAACTCGCCTTTGTGGAGGGCAGGAGTGGCCCCTGGAACTCGGCAGGCGGGCAAAGCTGGGAGCTTCTGCTCAGAGGCCTTTCCACAGCCTGGGGCAGCCCCGGCCTGCTGGCGACCGACCGCAGAGGTGGAGCCGGCATTCGTGCGCCGCCCGCAGGAGGAGCCGCGCTGTGCACCGGGAGGCAGGGCCGGCACAGGCCGAGCAGCCCCAGCCCTGGGCGAACTTTCCCAGCTAGGCTGCGAGAGGGCGGGAACGCTTGGGTGATGCTGCCCCTTAGTGGAGAAGAGCGGGAGGACCCGGCTGCAGGATGCAAGTGTGACACCTGCGACAGGAGCCGGGGCTGCAGGGACCTTTGGCTCCACAGGCAACAGCCAGGATCATCAGGTTTTCTAAAACCTAGAGCAAGCGGAGAAGGCTGGACCTCTGGCCCAAGGCCATTCCTCCTCACTCACCACCCAGACCTTTCCTGTTTCTTTCTCCCTTCTGCTTCTCCCTTCCCTCCTGCCTGCCAGCCCTTTCTTCTCTCTCTGGGGCCGTGTGACCTGGGGCACTGCCTCTAAAGAGCTGTGTGACCTCACATATGAGTTGTTTCACCGCTCTGGGCCTTAGTCACTAGAAACATAAGGGTCTCTAACAGCCAGCCCATCAACGTTGAACTGTCTGGTGCGAAGGGAGCCTCTCACAGCTCTTCCCTAACCTTGGGTTCTGTTTCTAGGCCAGAGCTAGTGAATTTGTAAGTGGGTCTCAGTTTATCCATGTCCAAGAGGGGATGTTTTTCATCCTACTCTAGAGTGATGCTCACTTTTCAGGGGCAACAATAAAATGTTCTGAGAGGAATGTTACTTATTAGAACAAGCTAAAGACTAGGTGATGTGATGCTGGGCATGGTGGCACATGGCTGTAATCCCAGCACTCAGGAGGCTGAGGCAGGAGTATTGCTGTGAGTTTGAGGCCAGCCTGAACTACATAGTGAGACTCTGTCTCAAAAAGATGCCCCCCCCAAAAAAAAAACTCCAGGTGATATTCAAATGCTTTGCCTTTGTAATTTTTAATCTCCTTTATTCAAGTTTTTAAAACAAATGGCTTTCTGCAGAAGTACAGGCTCATTCTTACAGCTCAGAATAGCTGACACTTGCCCCTGCTCCTCAAATTCCTGCCACTCCTGGAAAGGGCCATAGTACTTGCCACCAAAGCCAGACCTGGGTGACCCATTTGTCCCTATGGATCGAAATGATTGCAAACTGGTTCCTCCCTAGATCGCAGAGACCTACGCCTTCCTCCCGAGAGAGGCCGTGACCCGCTTCCTGATGAGCTGCACCGAATGTCAGAAGAGGATGCACTTTAACTCCAATGGCCTGGAACCCAAAGGTAGGGAGCCGTGGGTGAGGGCTGCTGAAGCAGGTGCTCCCACTGGAAGGGCCTGCCCTTTGCTGGCACAGGAGGGGAGCACAGGAAGAGCAGCTGTCACCATTACCAGGAGCCAGCGCGGGTCTGTCACACTGCCGGGGACCCTCATTTTGCCTTATTTAACTTTTTCTGAATGTTCAGGTAGAAGCCAGCGACCCCATTCCTCCTCCTGCTCTTCAAGGTACAGGCTGGCCCTTTGCTCCCAGCCAGGTTCCAGTGGAAAATGGGCACCGGCCCCAGAGCTCTGCTGTTCTGGCTGCCTGGGCCTCATGCTTGCCTCTGTTTCCAGACAGGCTCCCCGGGGATGCAAGGCACCCCTCGATTTGTGTGCACCCCTCGATTTGAGGTCTCAGGCCAGTAGGCCCATGGGGATGAATTAGAAGCTAGAATGTACAGACCACTTGAGAGCAGCCGGAGTGGGTCCTTGGGATCAGTGTCCATGCGTCCTTGCTCTGTCCTGACCAGCTAGGCCAACAAGGACCTCATCGCGCACAGGTGGCTTGGACTCAAGGGGATGGGCTGGCTTACTTGGGCAGTGTGGTTATCACTCTTCCCTGGGGGACAGCGTGCAGGTGGGCATCCCCAGTGCTCTATGGCAGCTCCTGGACTTGAGGCCGGCAGGCGTCTCTGAAGTTGAGAGTTCTGCCTGAGGATGGGAACAGAGTGGCAGCAGTGGAGGAGCTGCTTATCAGGGTGGTACCGGGTGGCATCCACAGGCGGGGGTAGGAAAAGTCAGCCACGGAACTGAGCAGCAACAGCCTTGGCCTCAGAACATGGCCAGTGGTGGTGTTTTCCTCTCATTGTCATGGTCCCTGATGCATGTTAGCAACTTCTGGTATCAGCTGACTGACCAAATTCAGAGGCCACCAGGCCATGGCTGCCTCATCCGGGCACATGGCTGGCTTCCAAACCTCCTGGCACTGGTTCCAGTGTTAGCTCAGAGCTTCAAGGCAGTGCTGTGCAAATACAGACTACACCTTGACCGCCGTGAGTCTCGGTTAAGTGATGGCATCTCTCTGAGCCTCAGTTTTTCCTCCAAGATTGGGTTAGCACCGGTCCCCCTCTGAGGGCTGCTAAGATTTGAAAAGTAGTCTACATGCCTGCATAGGACAAATGGGAACCTGAAGCTGTGGCTGTGGTGGCCGCTGTGATGAAGTAAGATGTCTGAATGACTCTGAGGACTCTTCCTGTGTGGCCCGGGCCTGCCTGAGTGGCTGCAACTCCTGAACCAATATGGCAAGTGGGCTGGGGGGACTTTCTCTGCCTCGCTGCCCACCCTACAGAGTCTAAGCCCCAGGGTCATTGCCCTGGATGTGCCTGCCTGAATCCTGCCCACCCTATCGCCCGCCCCTCCTGTTCTGTCCTGTTTCCATAGCAACTGGGGGAGTCAGCCTCGTGCTGCCTAGAGGAATAGAGGCAGGGCCAGAAGGGGCTGTGCCTGTGAGCTGCCCCGGGTGACTTCAGGCTCCACACTCCACACCCCTGCTCTGCGTCCCTGACAGTGCAGATACTCCTCACCTCCCCCCAGCTCCTCCCTGAAGACTGCAAGGTCTCCCATGGTCGTGCCAATCACAGTGGCGCGGCAGCAGGCTGCTTCCTCTCTCCCTGGCTGCCACCACTGCACCCCCACACCCCAGAAAGAGAAAGAAGGAGGGAGGGAGCTCACAGCCAGGAGCTGCCTGGAATATAAACTGGCTCAGTGGGCTTTGCTGAGCCTCTTTTAGAGGCTTGCTCCAGCAGGACAGAAAACATCCCTGCCTGTCCTCAGGGCATCACCATTTCAGGGTCCCAGGTATCAGCCTTCCCCATTCACAGGGCAAAATGTTGGGGGAGCATGAGACCATGTGGCCCATGGAGGAGTGTGGGCTTGGGATCAGCAGGCCTGGCTGTTCAGCCTGGTCCCCTGCTGTGTGTCCCTAGGCAGATGAGAGAACCTGTCTGGGCATCTGCCAGTCATAACAGCTATTAATGGAGAAGTGCTGGGTAAAGTCACTCAAGTTGGCCCTCCCGGGAGGCAGAGAATTCACATTCTCATCTTCAAAGTGGACAGGACACCTTCCTCTTGGGGCTGTGAAATGCAGGTGGATGAGATGAGCCATTAAAGTAGGGTACCTGGGCACCCTCGTCCTGTGTTCCCACCTGTGTTGTTGTACCATGGCACCCAGACACAAGGCTGCCAGTGCCCGGGTGACCCCTCAGAGAGATAAAAAAGCCAGCCTTCCCCAATGTGGCCCCCCAGGCGAGCACATTGTGTCCACATCCTGCACACACCATAGAAGGGAAGGCTTTGGTTTCTGGCAGCTACCTGTGGTGAGCTTTGGGGTCTGAAAGGCTCTCCTGTCCGCTAGATGGCCAGAGGCATCAGCCTGCTGGACTGACCTTGTAGCCGGCAGGTGTCCCCTCCCTTTTCCTGCCCTGGTGAGGGCCTGAGCTCCCTCACATCCCCGCCCGCTGCTGCATTGGTGGCCTCTGGCGTGGCAGCTCCTCTGGCTTGCTCAGGCACCAGTGCCATGCTGGTGCCCAGCCCCTCCCCTTTCCGCCTCCATCCTGAGTCAGGCCCCTTGTTCCTGTCCCAGGAAGGGGCAGGCTCAGCAGGGGACAGGATGGAGGCTTCTTGAGGGAGGCAGGGAGAATGCCTTGCTTCCCAGCCTCATGTTAGAAAGAAAGAAAGGAAGCTGAGTGGCCTCTCTGGCTCAGCAGTTTGTCCCCAGCAGCATAGCGGGGCCTGGACAGCCTTGCACCCCCGTCCCCCACGTGCCTGGAGCATAAACAAAGGAGCCAGCAGCAGCTGGAGGGTGGGAGATTCCAGGGCCTCCTGGCTGCCTGCTCCTCTTCCCTGCTCAGGGAGAGGGGCTGCATGGGCACATTTCCGTTTTCCTGATGTGACAGCTTGATGCTGCATGGTTGTAAACCCTGAGCTGCCAATGGATGCAGTGGTTCCACCTCCTCAGGGTACAAGCTGTCCACGCAGGTGATGGCTCCTTGGCAGCCGGATCCAGATGTATCTCAGGGCCCCCATGCCTGGGCCCTCCAGGTGCCTCTTGCTGTCCTTCCCCGCCCCAGCCCCTTTCAGCCTGTTCCTTGACCTGTGCAGAGTCTGTCCGATCTGGCCCCACACGCCGGTCTATTCTTTCTCAATTCTCACGCTCCCTGTGTGACTGAGGGAAAGTTGTGTGGCATCTCTGTGCAGTGTCGTTTCATCTGATACATGGGGGTACTGATACCAGCACCCACCTCATGGGGCTCTTGGGAGCATCAAGCAGAAGGGTCCACATGAAGCACTTTGCAATGCTCGGTGATCTTTTGCTGGGAGATTGAACGCAGGTCCTTCCAGTCTTGTCGCAAAGCTCTCCTGAGCTACTCCTGGGCCTCCGTCCACCTCCTCCAAGCTCCGATGGAATGCTCACATCCATATTCTATTTCCCTCCTGCCTGCCACATGCAGCCCGCCGTGCTCCTCAAAGGAGAACTTGCCTGCCCACTGGCTTCCCCTGGAGGATATCGTCCCACCCCTCCTGAGCTGGCCCCAGGCCTGGGAGCAGTTTCCAAGTCTGAGTCCCACGCACCAGGCCAGCTGCTGTCATGGCCTCCCTGTGCCAGGCCCTGCTTGCATCCTTGCCCTTCCATACGTCACCCACACCCACACCTTGTCGTGGGCACCCAGAACCCCAGAGGGGGAGCTCTTTGGTTCAGTAGGTGACAGCAAGAGAATCACCACCTTCTGTCTTGCCTAAAGCATTGGTGATCGATGGGTGCTGATGGTGCCAGCTGTGGGGGTTGGCAGTGGCCTTGGCCTGGGCAAAGCTCATCATCCCTGATTACTTTCAAGGCCATGGAAAACTAGGTCCAGTGCTTGAGTTGATTTCAGTTTTCTCTGGTCAGGAGGTGTTGACACCTTGGGGCACCTCCTCTGACTCTCCCCAGCAACCTGCTGGGTTATTTAGCCCAGTGCCCCTCGTGGACTCCTCACTCAGCCCTCTCCATGGTCACTGCCCACTGGGGCAATGCCATTGGGTTGTTGGTAGGCTCGGGTGTGGCTGCTGCCGTCTCAGTGAGCCCCAGGAGCCCCTCTTCCTTGTCAGGCTTCTGCCTGAGCCCCCCTGTCCTGGTGTGGGTCTCGCCTGTGAGCCTCTGGCTCCAGGCCTGCTCCTCCCCACTAATGGGGCTCAAAGACTTGGGGCTTCCACTGCCCAAAACCTCTTGTCCCCTTCTCACAATGGTGGCCGAGCCCCAGCCTCCTGTCGCCCTCCATGGCTCATTTCCTCTGGTCCACAAGGTGCCATGCCAGAAAGGTGTTCTCTGGTGGGTTTGTGTGTTTGACCAGGGCCAGGCATCCTGCCCACCTCTTCCAGGCCCAGGAAGTGGCTTCTGTTGTGTAAAGATGCTGCAGAGGGGACAGACCTGTGACGACCCCTCCTCCTGCCTCCCAGGAGTGCCATCCTGACCACTAGGCTGTGTTTTGTTTCATTTTCCTAATGCCAATTATAACTGACCTTATTATTTATTTATTTATTTATTTATTATTTATGAGATGGAGTTTCACTATGTAGCTTCGACGGGGCTCAAATTTGCCATCCTCCTGCCTCAGCCTTCAGGGTTCTGGGGTTACAGGTGTGTGGCACCACTCCCAGCCTTTGGGAATAATATGTTTCCCTAAGCATTCATGGCATTTCAACCAGGACGCAGGTGAATGTCAGGGAAAGAACACAGCCCACTCCCTGCCCCTGTGGACCTCCGCAAGTACCTTGTTCACCCACTGCTCACCAGACCAGCTCCTCATCTACAAGGAAATGAAACAGAAGCAAGGGTTCTCAGTCTGAAGAGTCACAGTCTGCCAGCAGGAACCCCAGCTCCTTCAGCAACACCACCTAGGCGAAGTCCCAGGAATGTTTGCTGTCACCTCCCGGCCACTGATTTCAGGGAATCAGGGCCTAAATGTACCCTGGGACTAAGGACTGCACGTCCAGGATAATGGTTACTTGGCTAGAGAGAGGCACAAAATGCATCTGATTTGCCTTACACACCAGCTGTCTGTGCCAATGACATCCTGCCCCCAAATCAGGAGGGAGCTCTTTAAAAAGGGGACTCTGGGGCAGGTGAGCCACTTGAAGCCAGTTTCTGACACCTGTTAAGTGACACTTCTTCCCTCAAAGAACAAAAAATGAAACACTCTTCATGGGTGACAACATAGCTGAAAATCAAGACGGACTTCTGCGTTTTTATAAAACTTGGTAACAACTGTAAACATGCCTAGTGGAGCCCTGGTCCTGGGGCCATCTGACCTGGAGTCCTCTGTCTGCAGGGCTGTCCCAACCCTGGTCCAGTGGCATTTCCCTTTGTCCTGTCTGTCCCCCATGTTTGCTGGAGTTTTCTTCTTTTTTGTGGCAAAATATTTATAGTATAAACTTTGCCATCTTACTGTTTACTTGTACCATTTAAAGACATTAATTGTCACTACCTATTTCCAAAAGTTTTTCAGCACCCCAAATAGATAACTGTATCTTTTTAGAAGGATGCCAGGTAACCTGTATTCTACATTCCATCTGTGAGTGTGCCCGCTCAAGCTATTTCACACACACGAATTGTACAGTGTTTGTCCTTCTGTGTTGGCCTCTTTGTTTTGGTTGCTGGCTCAGAAGAGGCAGATACAGTGAGTCATCCTAGCCCAGGAGAGATTGCATTCACTTCCACGGGCCCTGTCTCTCGGGTGTGGTCGAGACAGAGGAGGGCAGGCTGGGGCTAATCAAGAGTCTTTCTCCCTTCTCACACTGCTCAGATCCCATCTCCTTAGTGGAACCACAGGATCTTTTGCTCAAAGGCCTGGGGTGACACCAACCTGGTCTGAGGTCATTTGGGGCAGGAGAAAGCTAGAGAGCAGGTAGTCAGGACTGTTGGCCTTGCAGCTTGACCAGAGATTTCAGGAGTCATCAAATATTTCTGCTTTCTGACCCATGAACTCCATTTCTTGAAATCAGTTCTAAAAGGAAAAAGATCAGAAATATGGGTCAATATTTATATACGGAAGTGTTTCCTGCAGTGATGTTTATAATAGCTTCAGTGAGAAACAACCCAAATAACCAATCATAAGGGAATGGCTTAAGTAAATTATAGTAAACTATTATGCAGTTCTAAAAATTATATCTGCAAAAAAAAAAGAGCTTTAATGGTTACAAATACCCATGACAAAATGTTAAACAAAACAAACCCCTACCCCCACAACCCTTTTCTTTAAGCAGACTATAATTCGTCATATGCATTGTGATATCAAATATGTAAAGGAGAAATATGGAAAGGGAAAAAATAAACAGAAGCATATGCCGAGCTGCTTGGTACAATTATGGCTTTTTAAACTTTCCTTTACATCTCTCTGCACTTTGCAGATTCTCTACAAAAAGAACATGCATTGCTTTGATCTTCTGGGCAGCAAAGCAACACATGGGAGGAATATGCCCCTCTGTATGTGATTAAGGAGGAACCAGCATTTGGGAAGGCCGGGGTGCCAGGGGCCTGGTCTAGACCTGTGAGCCATATGGGACCTGGGGGAATATTGTGGGGCCTCAGCTGGGGTGGAGTACATGGCAGGTGTTTGCCAGGAAGAGAGCTGACTCGGACCAGAATGGAAGCTTGAATGCCTTCAGGGGCCTAGCAGGAATTCTAACTGAGCAAAGGCGTGCCAGAGGATAATCTGTATGTGTAGGAGGGTGGCAAACAGGATACATACCCTGTCTGGGGAAAACGGCCACTGCCACCCATCATGTGGCTTGGTTAGCCACATCTTCCATTTTTCAAAGAAGCCAAACTTTCGCATCCTTAACATGTGAAATGTCTTATTGTGAACCCTCACTACTGCCAACTGGCAAGTGTTTTCAACATGAGGCAGCCCCACTACAGGCCAGCTGTGGTGGACAGGTCACCAGTAAGTGCTTCTGGTCTGTTCCTTCCCAGAGGCCACTTCCTCGGAGTTGAATTCTGCATGTAGGTCACAGGCCCCAGCATAGACTGAAGGGGTTTCCTTTTGTTCTTCCTACCAGAAAATGAGCCTGCGTCTCCTCTGGTCTCCGGGATCATTGATTACAACATGCCCCTCACCTCCACGTACTTGAAGCAGATGAAGCTGCGAGTGATGAATTCCCAGGAGCAGGTAAGGCTGCTGTCCCCCATCGCCCACCTGGAGGCGTCCTCACTCTCCTGGTTGAGGCCGAGGCCTTCCCTGTGCCTGTGCTGAGGGCTGGGCCTGTGTAAACACACTGGCAATCAAAGAGGCCTTATCTGGTCATCTGAGCATGCAGCAGGCAGAGGGAAGGAAGGAACGCCTTCCTCCTCGGAGGGTCTGCTGGGCGGGCGCCCTGCTGGGGCTTCATGAGACCTCAGAAGAGCTGTCCCCAAGACCTGGGCTCTGTTCTGCCCAGTGTCTGCTGTGTCACTGGCCTCCTTTCCCCAGGGAGTTGTGAGAGAGAAGCCCTGGCCACCCCCCTGTGGCCTCTGTCTCTCTTGGGGCCCGGGTGAGCCAGGAGCACAGGACTTGGAGGGTAGCCCAAGCTAGATAAGGCCTTGGGGCCTCTGGCTGTCCTAGGCCCCCAGCTGTGGCTTGCCAAGGGCTGCCAGGTACCATAGAAACAAACAGTGAATAGAAACACCCTCCTCCTGCCTCCCCGAACACCTTCTGACTTCTCTGGGCAGGCAGCAAAGGCCTGGGCAAGGGCCACCCTTTGTTGCTACCACAGCCTGAGACCACGGTGATAATTTCTCCCCTCCAGTTTCAAGTGCTCTCTCATCTCTGGTGCCATCTGAACCCACCAGCTCCTCAGGCCTGACCAGGGAACAGCTGTCATTCCCCCAGGGAAGGACAGAGCAGAACTCCAGTCTGACAACTGGCACACTGCTCGGTCCTGTGCCGCTGGTCGCCTTGACAACGTGAGCGTCTGTGTGTGGGGTTGATGGCTTGAGGCTGGCTCCTTAGTGATGTGGCCGGATGTGTTTGGATCACCCTGAGTCTGTGTTATCACGTTGGAGGATTTAGACTGCTTGGCCTGAGTGTGTGAGGCTGTGCCCTCCAGGGCCCACGCCGTGTCCAGCCCCTGGAGGCCGAGTGAAGTCTGCTTTGCTGCTGAAGCCAGAGCTGTCTGCATCTGTGTCTTCTCACCTGTGTGCCTGTCCTGTGATGGTTGCATCAAAAGTCATCTCACTGGGGTTGGATTTGTGACTCACAAGGACCACATTGTTTGTGCTGTGGATCTGCCAGTCACCAGGGTATTCCTTTTATTAGTAGTTAGAACATCTCAGCTGTACTGTGCGGTCTTCTGACTGTTGCTGAGGAGTAACTCATGGCTGTTGTCTTCCTATCCCACCCACATTATCACTTCTTGTCCATTCCTCGCCACCACGCTCACCTGTTACCACAGAGTGCAAGATCTAGAACCACACACAGCCCCCTTGCTTGCCCCCTCCCAGGATAGGCTGCTGGGTGTGATCCCAACACGGCCAGTAAGTCAGAGAACCACAAGCTGTGATGTACTGGTGGATCCTCTTAGCTTTTATTTGGCTTTTAAGATCATGTGTGTTGTGTGTCAAGTGCTTTAATAAGGATTCAGGAGCCAGGCATGGTGGCACAAGCTTGTAATCCTGGCACTTGGGAGGCTGAGGCAGGAGAAGTGCTGCAAGTTCAAGGCCAGCCTGGGCTATAAAGCAAACTGAAGGCCAGCTTACACTGTATAGAGAGGCCCTGTCTCAAAAAGACCAAACAAACAAACAAAAAAGATTCAGCCATTTGCAAATACTTATGCAGCTGTATTCTGTGTGCCAGGCTCCATGGTAAATAAAATACCGTCATTCCTAGGTCTCCTTGTGACCCATCGGGAGATGGACAGTCAGAGGAAAATGACACACAAATGCTAGTTCATAGCAGGTGGCTTTAAGCAGTTGAAGAAATGACACATCAGTCACCTTTTTGTGGCAGTGAGGAGGGTCAGGCAGGGAGCATGGTGCTGTGGGCACATGGGTAGCAGAGCAGGCTGAGGCAGAGGCCATGGGAAGGCTTGCTGCAAAAAAAAAGGAGGTATCAGCTGAGTTATAGATCTGAAAAGAAGAGCATCCCAGGCTGAGGGGCATCTTGTGCAAAGGCCCTGTAATATAAAGAAAGACAATGCCCACAGTGATCAGAGGGGTGAGCATGGCTAGAGCAAAGAATGAGAAGTCTGCTGCTGAAGAAAAACAGGGAAAACAAAGCACTTGGTAAGTGAGACAAAACTAATATTCGTGAAAGATAGGGCAGGGGCAAGCATTGTCCCAGGGTGCTTTGGGACCCCAGCGGGGCTGACGGTGTTAGCGTCGCCTTTGAGAATAGCATGCTTCTTCTTGTACCACAGCAGCAGATGACAGTGCAGACCCTCCTTGCACCACCTGGCAAGCGAGGTGGCATCCCGCCTCTGCCTCAGGCTCCCGCCTGTCGGCCTCCAGCACCCCAGCACAGTGAGAGCTTCCACGACCTCAGCCTCGAAGGCGGCAATGCTGTCCCTGTTTGCAGCAGAGCACATGGTAAAACAAGAGATCACACTGCTCTGCAGCGACGAGGAGGGGCCAAGGGCCAGAAACCTTTGAGTCTTCAGCTTAGTTGGAACTAAAAATACACAGCCTTGAATTAGCAGCTTCTTTCTCATACAGCACCAGTAGAGCAGGGCTGTCCTTGGGGTGGGCACAGCGCAGCCTGGCACAGGTTCCTGCTGCTGGTGCTTTGAAGCTGGTGTTATTCTGTGACTCTGGCCACAAGTGCCAGCAGAGGACACCTGAGTGTTGTGGCTGGGTACCATGTGAATGACCTGAGTGCTGTGCAAAGCTTTATAGCTAAAACTCGAGGTAAGATAAGTCCCTTTTGGGGGGTACCAGGGATTGAACTGGGGGCTGTGCTGCAGCCCTGGCCTTTAAAAAAATTTTTTTTTTTTATTTTGGGACAGGGTCTCACTAAGTTGCTAAATTACCCAGGCTGAGCTCAAACCTAGCATCTTCCTGCCTCAGCGTCCCTGAGTGTTTGTACTTCGGCCTGGAGTTTTTTCTTTTGACACTGCACACCCAGGATACAGTGCTAACACACAGTACCTGCCCTCACCTTGCTTTGGTCAGATGTTGGGCAGTGGGGTTTTTCTGAGGGCTGGACAGGACGGGGTCACTGTAGTCCAGCTGTGTCCGATCAGCATGCTGGGAAGCGAGTCCTTCTCCACGAAGGGCGTGAGGTCATGTGGAATCTAGAGCAGGGGCCAGGGGCATTGCCACGTGGTGGAGCCACTGTACGAACAAGGCCCTGGGCTCCATCCTCAGCACCACAAAACAAAAACCCAGTGACAACAGAGGAAAAACATTCTTCCATGGGCCTGGTGCAACATAGCAAATATTTTTGGTGTCCTCAGAGTGCAAGGTGGTGAGAGTCTGGCTCCCCTAAAACCCAGCCCCCAGGAGCTGTGACCAGAGGGGCCACAGTCAGCTAAAACCATGGGGCTGTTTCCATACCCAGAAGTAAAATTGAAATCATTTTTAGTTATGCAGGTGAAGAATCCATCACCCTCCAGACAGCAGGCAGGAGCTTTGTGAAGTGTGGCTGCCTTAGGGAAGGGTTGGGGTACTGTCTGGTGAGCCAAGCCACACTCTTGGGTGCCCAGCTGCCAAGTTTCCAGATCCCTTTCCAGGGCAGGTGCAACACACACTCAGAGGCATGCTGGCATTTCTTTTTCTGATTTTTTTTTCATTTGGTTTTCTTTTATCCTTGTTTTTCCTAATTACACAAGTAAACATGTGTCCTTACTAGAAAGATCATTAGCAAAAGAGCAAGGTCATAATGATAAAAATTACCAATGTCCCTGTTGGGTGAGCTGATTTATTCTATAATTCCAATACTGTATTCAGGAGGCTGAGGCAGGAAGGTCAGAAGTTTGAGTTCCACCTAGACAACATGGTAAGACCTTGTCTCATATAAAGGGGGCCGGGTGTGGTGCCTCATGCCTGTAATCCCAGCACTCGGGAGGCTGAGGCAGGAGGACCGTTGTGAGTTCGAGACCAGTCTGGGCTACAGAGTGAGCTCAAGGCCAGCCTGAACTGCGTAGAGAGACCTTGTCTCAAAAAGAAAAAATAAATAAATAAAAAATAAAATAAAGTAGGGGAAAGAAAAGGCAGTAATGTAGGCTCAGTGGTAGAGCAGCCTGGTACTCAGTCCCTGAGTAACACACACACACACACACCAGCATCTCACCACTGAGATCGCTGTGAATACTTTGGTGTCTTCCCTTCCACACTGCTGAATATAAAGGGAATTAGCCTGGCTTGCTTCTCTGCTGCCCATTCCCCTGTTATTTTCTGTCTCTTTGTCCCCTGGGTCTTCATGTCCCACCTGTCAGATAAGCGGGCTTTGTAGCTCTGTGATCACTTGCATGAATCCTGCCCCCCATGTGCATGCGCTGAGCCAGGTTCTGGTTCATGTGCCAAGGGACAGTGGTGAGTGGAGCCAAGTCCTCGCCCTCTGGGTCATACGGTTCAGTGACAGGGACACAGGAAACTCACATGAACTCTGTAGGGTCTTCAGGAAGTGTTCAGAGGAGCAGCCAAGCAGGGAGCCAGTGGGGGGGTGCTGGTTTGGGCAGAGGCGTTGCTGATCGGCCACCTGTTCTGTGTCCAGCACTTACTGCCCTTGGCCCCATGTCCTCTGGACTCATGAGGTCACATCACTACCCTCACGCTATGGACTTGATAATGAGGCTCGGAAGGGTTGAGCCCTGGGCCGAGGTCATGCAACCACTAAAAGGAGTAGAAATCCCCAAGCCTCCATATCTACCAAGGCACCGAGCTGTGTCCCTCACACGGCCCAGGTGAGGCTGTGCCCATGAGAATCAGCAGCAGGCTCCCAGGCAGGCGCCGCCCGTGGCTTGGAGAAGAGATGTTTGGTGGAGGTGCCAGCCTAGGATCTGGGGCGTTGCCTTAAATATTGTGAAAATCAGGAAGTGGAGGGGAGGAAGTTGGCTGTGCATGTCAGGCTGTCTGCATGTGTGTGCTCACACCTGTGTGTGCTTTGGTGGTCCTGGGGACTGAACCCAGAGCCTTCGCACTGAGCTACATCCCCAGCACCTCACCTTCACCCCTTTTGAGACAAGATCTTGATAAGTCATTAAGTTGCTGGGCTTGAACGTTTTCTGCCTAGCAAGCACAAGGTCCTGAGTTTGATTCCTGATACAGAGAGAGAGAGAGAGAGAGAGAGAGAGAGAGAGAGAGAGAGAGAGAGAGACAGATAACTTTCTACCTTGCCTCGGTCTCCTAGAGTGCTGGGAGTACAGGCATGCAGCAGCACACCCAGCTTACATATAAAATTTAATGTCCACATTATCCTGCTCTTCCTGAGGTTGCAGTGTGTGAGCCAAGACCTTGCTGGAGAGATCGGAGGTGGAGGCAGGGACCATCCCCATGCATGCTCTATTTACACGAGAGGAGGCTCTGCTCCCTGCTCCCTCTGCTCTGCAACCCCCATCCCAGCTGGAGCTGTGTCCAAGAAGGCTGCGGGTATCTGCCTCCTCCCTCCAGCTCAGGCAGCACTATAAGTCCCGCTAATGGTTTTAATGTCCTCCCAGCAGCCTGTGAAGTGGTGTGCTGCTCCATTGTCTAAGCCCACGTGATGCAGGAGGCTCTTGCTAGCCTCCATTAACCTCTGCCTCCTTCTCCCCTACTGTTCTGTCCTGGCCCAGAGTTTTCCCAGGGTCCTGGAGGGTGGGGGAGACCAGGTAGCCCCTCTTCCTGAGGGGCACACATGTGAGACTCAGTTGGAATCTCCAGATTACTGGCTCTCCTGCTTCTCAGAGCAAGCCAGTCTGCAGCCACTGTCAGCCTGGATTCCCACCCACCACCCACTGCACTTGCTGACAAGCTGGCCACTCTGGGGTCAGGCAGCAGGAGCAGCTCTGCCACCTGGGAGCTGTGTAACTTGGGGCAAATTGCTCTGATTCTCTGTGCTGCTTTTTCTGCGTTAGTTGCTTGAGAGTAATAATGATGCACCTACCTCCTCCTGAAAGGATGATCCTAAAAGTCAAACGGCAAAGTCTGGTGAGTGCTTAGCACGCGCTGGGCTCCCAAGAAGACTGTGGGAAGTCTCAGTGACCAGCACAGCTCCTAATACTGTGCCATGCAGTGTGTGTTTGACAGACTTAGCAATGACCTGCACCAGAGGCCAGGGCCATAACCATGGGGACACGCATGTGGGCACCCTCGTGGAGTCCTTCATCCATGCAACAGGAGACAGAGACACGAAGGGCCTAGAAACTCAGCTTTATGATGGGCTTTGGGCAGGAGAGAGAGCCTGGGACAGATCTGGTGGCCTGTGAGGCCAGAGCCAGTGTGGGAAATAGGAGGAGGAGAAGGAGGAGGTGGAGGAGGAGGAGGGGTCCACCTGAGCCCCACAGCAGACGAAGATTTGAGCAGGAACTTTGTTGGACTCCTGATGCTTCCTCAAGTGTGGAAGAAAGCAAGCCCATCCTGAAAAAACTCCTACATTCACATTTTATTTTCTTGGTTGGGTTTTTTGCAGTGCTAGGGATGGAACCCAGGGCCACACATCTGCTAAGCCAGCCTCTCCCTGGTGCTCCACCCTCACACCCTGTATTCGAGTTTTAGAAAAATCGTGGTAAATAGATATAAGGTAAAATGTGCCATTTAAACCACTTTTAAGAGTATAATTCCATGGCATTGGGGATATTCACAAAGCTGTGCAACTATCACTGTTTCCAAAAACTTCATCACCTGTCTTAGTCTCTTGCTTGTTGCTGGGACACAGGACCCAACACCCACACTGAAAGGGAGCAGAGGTTAGCCTTGGCTCAGGGTCCATAGTCCGCTGGCCCCACGCAAGACAGCACAGCACAGCACAGGGGCAAGCAGTGTGGAGGGAAAGCAGCGCCTGCCTCAGCATACAGGAACAGAGAGGAGGGAAGAGCTGGGCGGGAGACAGCCTTCTGGGCCCCGCCCCAGGGACCCACCTCCTAACAGCAAATCAGCTGTGAACCTGTAAGCCAGTCACCACCCCAGGCCTCACCCATGAACACATGAGGCTTTGGGGGACATTTAGATATAAACCATAACATCACCCCAATCAGAAACTCTGCACCCATTAAACACCGGCTTCCCATTTCCCCTTCCCCGAGCCCCTGGTAATCTCTGTTCTACTTTCTGTCTTTGAATTTTGACTGTTCTTGAGACTTCACATAAAGGGAATCACAAGGCATTTGTCCTTTTATGTCTGGCTGCTTTCTCTTAACATACAATAATTTTAAGGCTCCTCAGTGTCAAGGTCTGCGCCAGGACTTCATTCCTTTTCATCGCCAGATAATATTCCATTGTCAAATACAGCCTATTTTGTTTCTCTGTCCATCTATCAGTAAACATTTGAGTGGTTTTCACTTTTTGGCTAACCACAGTCATTTTTGGGTAGGGGTGGAGACTAGGAATTGAACCCAGGCCTCATGCTGTACAACTGAGCTGCATCCCCAGCCCTTGCTTAAAATTTCTTTTTCTTTCTTTTTTTTTTTTTATCGGTACCAGGGATCGAACTCACAACTGCACACTTGCAAGGCAGGCGCTTATGCCGCTGAGCTAAATCCCCAGCTCCTAAAATTTCATTTTGGTAAATAAATAAATAAATAAATAACATTTCATTTTGAGACAAGGTCCTGGTTAAGCTGCCCAGGCTGGCCTCAAGTTTGCCTTGGCCTCCCGAGTAGCTGAGATCACCGGCAGGCACCACCACACCTAGAGACCAGATTCACTCTGCAATCGTGGTCTTTTGAGTGAGGAAACACTACAGCAGCAGGATTCTGTCCCTCAGCTGTCTCTCCACCCTTCTCCCTCTTTCTTTTCCCTTGGACCCTTGGACCTCTGCCCTGCTCAGAAGGACCCCAAGAATACAGGCAGGCTCACGGGAGGAGCACGGCCGCCGACCACAGTGCAGACCTGTCTCTCTGTCAAACAGTGCCTGACTCACGGGTCTGCGACCGGGAAGCCCACAGTGCGGCCCTGGACCAACCATAAGGTTCACAGCCCATAGCAAAACTCTTCCTCTCTGCTGCCAGGGCTTCCCACACGGGGCAGGCACAGGCGTGGGGCAGAGCAGAAGGGGGCACAGCTTTGTTTGCTGTGGTGGCTCAGTGCGTGAGGCCAAGGGTGGTCTCTCAGAATGATCCACATGGGATAGAAATGGAATGCAGAACTGCTAAACGGGTGGAGGGGAAAGAAAGACAGAAGATTGTCCAGTCCTGGAGGAGGGATTACATGGGAGAACGGAAGCACTGAATCCGTGTAACAGTTTTGGAAGTCTGGCCGTTTTCACTACATTGGTTCTTCCTACCCAAGAGCGCGGGGTGTCTCTCCATTTTCTGATATCCTCTTGATCTCGTTTTTCAGAGTGCTGTAGTTTTCAATGTAGAGATCTTTTACATTCCTCATTAGATTATTCCTAGGTATTTCATTGTTTTGGATGCTATTGTAACAGATATTGTTTCCCTGATTTCTCTCGCAGTGAGTTTGTTATTCATGTATAGGAAGGCTATTGATTTTTGAGTGTTGACTTTGTCACCAACTACGTGACTTATTTGCTTATTAAACCTAGAAGTCTTTTGGTGGAGTTTTTGGGGTCTTCTAAGTAAAATATCATGTCATCTGCATACGACGATAGTTTAACTTCTTGGGGGAATAAAAGCAAAAACCAACAAAAAGAGAGCTAAGAAATGGAGAATAAGAAGTCAGCTACCAGGAAAAAGACCAACATGAATCACAATAAATATGCATGAGTTAAATTCTACCACATAGCATCAGAAAGGATCAGACCAGCTTTTATAATGGGAAAGTCCAGCCATATGGTATTCACAAAAGGCATTTTTAATGGCATCTAGAAAACTAGAAAAGGAGGTAGTACAATAATTAATGTCAAAGAAGTAAATGCTTGAAGCAAAAACAACAACAAAAAACCACTAAATAGTGCAAAGTGGGCTGTTTTATGATGACTGAAGGCACGATTTCTCAGCAAGATCGTAGAGCCCCATACCAAGGTGGCCTGCCCACGGGGAATGGGAGGCCAGCTGGTTTGGTTGAATGTGTCCCGTCAGGAACAGTGTCTTTCTCTTGTAGCCCTCAGGACCTCTTTCTTTCTTTCTCTGTTGGTGTGTGTTTTATTTTGTCTTGTTTTGTTTTTTGAGACAGGGTTGTGCCGTATAGTTTGGGGTGGCCATAAACTCACTGTGTAACCCAGGCGGCCTTGAACTAGCAGTGATCCTCTTGCCTCAGCCTCTCCCTGAGTGCTGGGATTGTAGGTGTGTGCACCACTCCCAGCTGCAGTCCCTTTTCCATTACAGGTTTGGGGCGGGGAGGTTGGTACAGGTGATCTAACTCATGACCTCACACATGCCAGACAGGCAGGTGCTTGTGCCGCTGAGCTAAATCCCCGGCTCTTGTTTTGATTTTTGAGACAAGGTCTCACTGTATAGTTTATGCTGGCTTTGAAGGCACTATGTAGCCCAAGCTGGCCTCAAACTCAGAGCAATCTCTCTGCCTCCGCCTCTCCCAGAGTGCTGGGGTCACCGCTGTGCGCCATCATGCCTGGCCCATGCAGCTTAGCTTGCTGATTGTACATCTATTTCCCTGGACCAGTCTCCAGCTTGGGCACCTCCATCTGCTCTCTGGAAACACACAGAGCAATGTGGTCCTGAAGTCATCTGTGAGCCAACGGGGTCTGCTGGCCTAACTGCCTGGACTTCCATCCGCCCCTCTCCCCAGCCTCCAGCTGCTCCACAGGAGCCACCTTCTCAGTGTCCAGCCTTCCCCTCCCACTGCCCGCCTGTTGGGCCATGCTGGACGGTGCTTGCTCAGCCTCTCCTCTCAGGTGTGCTCCGTGCCCCCTCTGCACAGGCCTCTGGGATCAGCCTGGTCCCTGTTGTGCAGGTCAACAGAGGGGACGCAGCTTGCTGCCCCAAGAGCACAGGAAAGGCCTGAAATTCCATCAACCACATCTGCAAGAGCCGAGAATCTACGGCTCAAACCTCTTCCTGTCTCAGAGAATCCTTGGCCCTGTGAAAGTCTGTGCCGCAGCCAGAAAAACAAAAAGCAAGTAAAACACTGACCTTGACCAAGGCTGCTGTTTGGATTTCTCTGCAGACTAGTGTCGGGGCGTTTCCGCCTGGAAGACAGCAGCAGGGTGACCGCTGCCCCGCCCCCACCCCGCAATGTGTGTTTTATTTGTATGTTTTTATTTTTTATCAATTGAATACATTTTTTAAAAAACTCATGTAGCAAAGGGCAGGCTGTAGCCCAGCCTCCCCATTACATGTGTTCCCCTGGAGCCTCTTTATGTATCTCCTGCTTCTAAATATCATATTTATTCTGCTAGTTGTTGATTTTGCAATTTGGCTTTTGTTATTGTTTAATTTCTTGTTCTGGGATATAAGTCTTTGCATTCGTACATCATCTCCTAAGCACACATACTCTTCCTTGTCTATCCCCCAATTTAGCTCTTAGATAAATCACTATTCATTGTTTATATTATTACTATATATTATATTATATTATATTATATTATTATTGCATTTGTGATTCAGGCCTGGCCCATTAGCATACCATGATTATATTCCTTTCTTTGGGTTCCCAGAGTTAGCCTTTACCTCTTTTTTTTTCCTTCTCAGTCTCTCGATCTCACATATGCTGTGTTTCTTATTTTTATAGACTCAGATTTATCAATGTTTTTCTATAATGGTTTCTGCATTTGAGTTTCAAAAAGGCTAACTCTACTCCACCCCCATGTGTTCTCTTGGTACTTTCATATTTTCATTTTTGTAAGAGATCGTTTTTGAGAACAGTTTTAGATTTATAGAAAAATCGAAAGGATGACGTAGTTGCCACATGACCCTGCCCTCCGTGGTCACACACAGTTTCCTCTGTTAGTAGCATCTTATTTTGCTAGGATACATTTGTTTCCACTAGTGGACCAGTGTTGATACATTATTGAACTAAAGTCTACATTTAGAGTTTGTTAGTTTTTATGTCCTTTTCTGTTCCAAGATTGTATTCAGGATACAACGTTTCATTTTGTTGTTAGCTGTCTTTGGTGAGGAAGGGAGGGCGCTGTTACTGGAGACTGAATCAGGACCTTTCCACTGAGCTCTATTCACCTCCCCTGCCCATTTTTTTTAAAGACAGAGTCTCAAAAAATTACATAGTGCAGGCTGGCCTTTTTTAGTTTTGTTTGTTTGTTTGTTTGTTTTCTTTCAAAATGGAGTCTCAAAAAACCTGTATGGTGCAGGTGAGCCTCAAACTTGCTTATGTAGCCCAGCCTGGTCTCCAACTTGAATGGATCCATCTTTCTGCTTCAGCCTCCTGAGTGCTAGGATTATAGACACGCTCCACCACACCTCTCCCCTTCCCATTGTTACTTTTATTTCAAGAGAGTGTCTGGCTAAGTCCTTACATTGCCTAAGCTGGGCTTAAACTTGCAACCTCCTGCCTCAGATTCCCAGAGCACTGGAATGACAGGCTTGCTAGGTATGGTGACTCTTTAGTCTCCTCTGAGATGTGACTTTCCTTATTTTTGGTGACCTTAGCAGTTTTAAAGAGTACCAGCTACTGGGGCTGGGGATTTAGCTCAACAGCATAAGCACCTGCTTGGCAAGTACAAGGTCATGAGTTTGATTCCTGGTTCCATCAAAAAGAAAAAAAAAAAAAAAGTACCGGCTATATATTTTGTAAGATTTTGGAATTTATCTGATGTTCTTGATATAAAACATAGCATTCTTAGGCTATTAAGAGGAAGACCACAGTCGTAGAAGGCCACTTGTCCTGTTGTATCAAGGCTGCAAACTGTCAACAAGATGGATGACTTGATATGGGCCCTGATTGCACCGGCCAAGGAACATTTGCAGAATTTCTCCTCTCCGACGTTGCCTGTTTCCCGCCTTGCACGATGCACGGGGGCAGGAAGTCACCGTGTGTGGCCCATGCAGCTCTTCCTAGAGAGGGCCTGGAGGACAGAGGGTCCACATTAGTCACTTGGGGTCAAGTGTTTGCGAGGTTTGGCTGTGAACTTAGTCATGTGTTTGGTCACTATGGGCCTGTGGCTATTTATTTTATGCTTGGTATGATTTTATGGATCAGGTTGTTGAAGTTCTGGCCACTGCGAGCTCTTTCAGGTTTGCCTTTCGGACGCGCTGCATCAGGGTTTGGCTTTTCTGTTCTTGGTTGTTTTGTTTTTAGTACTTCGCTTGTTTCTGGGCTGTGAGGTGCTCAGACTCCGTGTGTACGCAGTGTCGCTTCAGTATCACTGTGTGTTCATTCTGGGAGGTGTGACAAGTACCAAACAAGCAAGGGATACTAAATTGTTTTGCCCAGAAAGGGGAGCAGATCCTGAGGCAACTGACAC